ATCAAGTAACCTTGATGTTTTTGGATAGATTTTTCTGTATGAATTCAATTCTGTTATTTCTCATTCGTTATTGCGCACATAGAACTTCATCCCGTGCACCAAGCCTTCAACACGAGACTAACGTACTTTCAGAACGGAGCAGAAGATCTAGCGAAGGACTGCGCGTGGCCGACTGCCAGCAACGGGAAACGAATACCCTGGAAATGTTTATAGGGCAAACTAACGACGTGACACATCTTCCCGTCAGCAAGCCGTCGTTACAATCGATCGATGCGCGTGCATCAGGCTCAGCCATCAGAGAAGGGTAGTGGTGACATAAATTCATTTAAAGTCGGCGGAAAAATAGCTAGAGTTTTTGATGATGAAAACGAGAATGTTTTTTTAAACGTCAGCCTAAATATAGCTTGGGCATCGAAATTGTCCCATCTTCTACTTCGTATGTCAGTCATGATAAAGCGAACGGTATTATGCACTGCGGGAGACAAAGCTCATTTTCCTAAATGATTCATGAACGGCTGCGCATAAAAAGCTGAATCAGATATTAAATCGAAGTATACTTTATCGCTTTTAAAGTAATGTCTGCGCAAAGAATGTGCTCAGACGTACATGGTTTGACTGGGCATTTCAGCTGCAGAAGGGCTATGTCAAAGCCGGCGCTTGAAGGCTGGTAGGTGAAGGAGGGATGCATAATTACGCCTTTCACTTCCACGTTGTAGGCTGGACATTGGCGCTGCGTGTAATTATGGTATGCAACCATAACCGCCCTGTGTTCTCCAGTGACATCATGATACGAGAAGAGCTGACCATATGGGGCATATTTGCATTTAAGGGCACCGACGACGCAGTGAGCGGCCGTCATTACCCATGTGGGCGCGATCAGAGTCCCTCCACAATTGGGAAAGGCACCGAGGGCAGAACTGTCGACTCCTACCTATGAAACACTAAACCGACACGCTTGATCTCGTAAAAAGCCATGAGGTAAATTGTAGTGGTGTGTAGTTAAGCCTATATTTGGCCTAACATTTGATGTTTTCAATGGATTTTAGATTTGGAACATACAGAAGCATAGGCTTATTTGTTAATTGATGGCGTATAGTTAAATCCGATGTGATTATCATGGAAGAGCACGCTATTTGTGTTAGTGAGCAAAGTGACCAGTTTACGATCATCAACACAAGCGTTATCAATAGCCAACATACAAATGAACAGTTACCCATACATACCAATTTCAAACAAATGTTGTATTGGAATACAATTACCTTCATATTTCAGTCATCTTTCAGCATAATAATGAAGCGGCAGTTAGTTGTGTCTATAATCTTCCACCTAACACAGGCAATGAAATTCAGCTCTGTTAAATGTTTGGAAATGTTGCAGATACCAAACTTGATGTCTAAATTATCGTAGGTGATTTAATCTGCCAGCCATTGACCAGCAAGCAAAAACCTTCAATAATTGGTTGATACTGTCAACTTTTGCACCATATCTCAACTAGTCAGTTCAGTGACTAGAAACTTAAACGTGTTATATTTATTTTTTACAAATTGAGTCCAACCTACGCACGTATTCACCAAATGTCCGAGATAAAAATGCAATAACCTTGACTTTTCTAACGTGGACCATGAATTAATAAATGATTTGGTAAGCATTGTAATTTGGCAAAGCCTAGCATTACAGCATTCAGGCTATAATCCCGCCAAAAAATTAAATCAAATGCAACTTCTTCTTCTTTGCTACCTTTTCTCCACAATAGAATTAACAATTACTAAATCAACTTAAGGATTCTTCCAACAGTTATTTTTAAGTTCATGTAATGCCAGCGCAAATATTTGAGTAAGCGCTTAAAATAAGGCTTGCACTATATAGGCGTAGGGAGTGCCGAACATAACTTTATGCAAATTCTTCCACATCTGTTGCTTAAGCCTGGCATTTCCGGTTATCCGCTACGCTTCAGAAAGTCATTGCGCCCTTACTCGATAGCAGTAGTTGTTGTGATACTAAGGATTTGGGCAAAGTAGCATTGCTAAATTTCTTTTTCGCCAATTTTTTTACCACCAAAATTAGTCCTACGCCTGCAGTCCCTCTACTTTTTGATCCAAATCTCACTACCGTTAATTTTTAACCCAGTAGTATTCAAAAGGGAATGTGTCATCTTACAAATTGAAACCAATAGCCTTCGAGACTCACCTGCGACATAGTTGACAGATAATACACCCTTACTCATAAACATTTTTTTAGAAATATTTGAGAACAGTGTTTTTTTTCCGGACTACTGGAAAACTCATAGTATAGTTCCCGTTTTTATACCTGATTCCTGCTGGGATATTCATAGTTATCGCGGAATTCATTAAATGCCCTCTCTGGCTAAAATAATTGAAAAAGGTATGGTCAAATAGATTGCAGATTTTTGTATGAGCAATTACATTCTCAACTCCTAACAGCATGGCCGATCTTGTTAAACATGACACATGCTTTTTCTAAGCCTACTCAAATCTTTTTCGTAATGATCATTTATCTGTGGTAGCATTTGACAAAGTACTTCAAAGGCTTTTAGCAAATCTATGAGCTATATAATTTCTTATAACTTTTACGAACGTTTTTAGATTATATCTATGTAAACGAACAAAAGGTCTTACTGGAATCCTCAAGTTCTTCTGCTTCCGCATTTACGCGTGCTGTCCTTCAGGTTACAGTGCTAGGTCCTCTTTTGTTCTCCCTTTACATAAATTATACTTCATTGGGTATCAAATATTTTCAACCTTATACTTATGCGGATGATCTGAAGTGTGATTACTCCTTCGTTAACTCTATAGACGCGAGCGCTTATAACACATTCATTCTGAGTTGAAACCCGTTACAGCGTAGATGTCATAATGACATATTTAGTGTTCATCTTCTATGTGCAGATATGTTTTGTCTGTGCCCTAAGGGCTGCAAAAACATGTTTATCTTTAAGTTTGTCCAATGACTGAATGTTCCAACATCAGGGAACTTGGTTTAAGCAACACCAATAAATTAGATCTTTCGCCTCACGCCGATAGAATTACGGCCAAAGCTGCAAAGATTTGTGGCTGTAGTTCGTATAATCTCTGCCTTTGCGAAATGAAATGAAGAATTTACCGTATGCTTTTCACCTCAGAGTAGTGTTACTTTCTGATGAACAATGTGACCCGTTCAAAATTGAAAGACTCCAATAAAGTTTCACAAAAAATGCTTTATCTGATATTTTCCAATACTTCTTACTCAGAAAGAGGCCAATTAACAAAATTATTATTTGCTTGTGTTAGGAAATTAAAAGCAGCCATACATCTTCTTTTTTCGTTAATATAGTATATTCATATTTCTGTAGTCATTCCCGTCAGCCGTCTTTACAACCAAGAAAATGATGCACTTGTTTCACCTCCACCTTCACCCGCCTCATCTGAATGCGCTGTTTTTTGATTCCAGATGTAGTTTATTTTGTAAATACTGGACGGTGGACGATGCTCTTTAAGTAAGCTTTTAATTAATAAAAGAACAACAGAACAAAAAAAGTTTCAGTAGTCCAAAATTACTGGCCTTATTTGACTTTACTTGAACTAACACGGAATTGCATTAATTGGCTCACTAACGCTGTTTATTAACTCCGTTTAAATATTGTGAAAATATAGAATAAAATCAATGAATCTGAAAACTTGAAACAGAACAGACTAAATATTATCATATCTTAACTTTAACTTCAAAATCTATTAACAAATATTCGACTTCAAAATGCCTTATTAAGCGATTTTTGAAGAAGTAATTTATTAACAAAAGTATTATTCTTATTATACATTATCGGCTTTTCTTGCAGAAATTCACTTTTCCCGGCTTGTTTGGGCGAGTATACATGCCTAAGCCAGGAAGACAGCTAAATAAGAAGGAACGTGTAAGAAAACTTTGTTTAGGCAAATGCCTTTAATTTATTTTATTTGCTAAATTTTCGGTATGTAGGTTGAAACAAATCGGTATTTATGCACACGCAAAGCAGTGACATTCAGAAAGGTCCAACATAATTGCGAAAAAATTCTGCAGCTCCTCGCACTGGGACTCTCGAAGTATTTACAAAGAAATGTGATAAACGAAATGTCCTTCAATATGCACAGTATGGTATAAATTTGATTACAATTTCAACCGTTATCTAACTTTTTATTAAACAGCCAGCCTATCGGTGTCTGGCTTTCAATCTATTTTTATTCCGCTCATCAGCCAAGATAAGATTACCATAGAACATATTTTTGCGATTTTCAATAACAATTAATAGAAAGCACGCAAAGATTCTTTCCGTTCTTTAAGCACGTAACATTTTACGAAGTATGCATTGTGGTAAAAATGACTTAAGTTAAGGTAACAACATCCATTTCTGACACCATTATTGTGAGTCTTAATGTTAATTGAAAAAAATTACCTTAAAACATTTGGCAATTTTACATATTTTTTATAACCTTGCCATTCATTTATACTCCCATGCCTCGAATATGCTGTTACTTAACACTCGACCAGTAACTGTAATTATTTTATAGTTTGGGGGCACGCCAAATGTGCTGGTCTTGCTCAAAATAACACTTCTTAGTGAATCCACCCCATTTCATGAGATAGGGAATGCACTGTATATATTGTACAATATATCCATCAGCATTTTAATTTGGTCTGCGTGATCGACGGAAGGTTACAGCTTCGCCATATGTTGAACGTGAAAGATAATGCCACTTTTAATGCTAAATAAACCTTTCTGAATTAAGGGATAGGATCTAACGTAACTGACTGTGGTGTACAAGGATTCGAAACTTAATTTTGTTAAAGTGGAATCTCAGTATAATCATGCATGTTTATGCTTCATGGTTGCGGTTACGCCAACCTCTTTTTACAATTAACAGTAAATATGAACCGCATTGTGTACTTAACACGCTACTGATTACGAGGTTGTCTGACTGTCCATTTCACGGTCTTCAAAAAATGTCTTATAGGAAGCGTGCTTATTTCGAAGGACACCATTGGTTAAACTTTGCAATTTGAAAAAGACGTTATTTCTAATCACTGGGCATAACAAATTCCAAGCCCATTTTTTATTTATGATCCACTACACATTGCAGAATATGAAAATTGTAAAAATAGTTCCTAACTCTTCGACAGACTTACATGCCAGGGCCAGCTGTTTGGCTGGGCTTCCGTCTTTCGGTTATGGTAGCTCTCCAGTTGCGGCAGGGACTTCCACCGTCGCCCACAGTCTTGCGGCTGCACCCTTTCATGAACTGTCCCATAAAATTTTTACAAAAAACTAGCAAGTCAAAGCCAAATAGATTGCATCGATTAAACACCATGGTAATTTGGACCGGCATAGAAAAAAGTGGGCTGATAAATATGCTACGTGCCTTTTAAGGAGCACCTGAAAGGTACCATTAATACAAAATTAGCTTCGTAAAAAATCTGCGTAGATAAACGTACAATAATGTAATAATGTCAGCAGAAATTACCCTTTAAAGTCAATATTTGGCAATGTTTTGCGGTTAATAGTAAAACTTAAAATAATATTCAAAAACGCATAATAGCAGTTTATACCCAATACAGCGATCCAGAGATAACATCCGCCAAGAAAAAAGACTGAAGACGGCATTTCCTGCCAGATAAATGGAGGTGTTTTAACGCAGAAGTACAGCTTGGCAGTCTTTTAAATGATATAATTAAATGGCATCACAGTGGGCCAATAAAAAAAATCGAAAACAGGGTTTTTGTTGTATAAATTTTCCGACTCCTTTGATTTGTCAAATGATGCATGTCATAGAGCTTACATTTAGATCAGGCAGCGTCATCCAAACTCTACCATGGAAAGTTACTCTCGGT